AAGAAAGAATACAAGGGTGTGATCTTAAAGGACATAAACAGCACCCATACTGATTTTTAGAAAAGGTAGCAGGAACACCATCATCACAGCCATCTGCTTCCCACCTGCTGGGACGCTAAGTGAAACCATCGGAACCGCTGCCACTGTCCTGCCAGGTCCTCCCGCTTATGACAGTCATATTGGTGGCGCCATGAGCAGTGTGGGGTAGACAGTGTTTTTATAGGTTACACAGATGTCTCAGCTACTCAGCGTTCTCAGGAGAATCCCTTTGACACACTCATGATGCAAACACGGTCCCACGGTCCTCACCCTCTGAACAATATCCAGAATGGACACATTTTTAAAAGCAGATAAAATGCTTTTCAGAATGTTGGCATCGTGCAGAAACACCTAAGGCTGAAGCTTTTAGAGAAGGAGAAAGGGACCTTTGAAGGCCTGGCAGGAGATGGGGAAGCAAGAATGGCCTCAGGTAGTTCTGCTCTCTTCGTCTAGGAGTAGGGTACTGTATTAGCTGGCTTTCCCGTCGCTGCGGCAAAGAACAACTTGTAAGAGGAGATTTTGGCGTTCAGTCCATGGCTGGCCGGCTGAAAAACCAGGAAGAGCGTGGTGGTAAGGGGTGGTGGAGGAAAGTTGCTCGTCTCATAGCGACCAGGAAGCAGACAGAGAAGGGAGGAGCTGAGGACAAGAATGCACCCAGGCACAGCCGAGGGACCTCCTCCAGCCAGGCCCCGCCTCCTCACAGCGCATTGCGCTATGAACTCAACAGTGGGTTCATCTACCCATGACTGTAGCTTTCCCGTGATCCAGTTACATTTCACAGTCCTTGCTTCTGAATGCGTAAGATGCTTGGGGGACAGCCTAGATCTACATATATATATATACATATATATTCTCTCCAGGATGTGCCAGGCTGTGATCCCACACTGTGATAACTGGGAGCCCACACTGCCCTAGTCTTGTCCCTGGGCATGCCTGGCTTCTGCCTGCCACCAGCTTCCCTGCTGAGCTCAGAGCCACATGGAAGAGAGGCCTTCCCTGGTGACTGAAAACAGAGCTTGTCAGCCAGCTGGGAGACAAGAGCCAAGGGCTGGGTAATGGTTGCAGATGAAAGGCTGACGAGACGCTAATGTCATTCCCTCCAGTGGATGACAAGTCAGAAGAAAGCTGCTTCTGCCTTGTGGGGTTGCTAAAGGGAGCCCTTGCAGGAACACACCTAGATAAAACCAGGTTCCCAGCCAGGTGTGGTGGTGCAGGCTGTAATCCTAGCACTTGGGATGCTAATGCAGGAGGGTCTTAAATTCAACCTGGGCTGCACAGTGAGACCCTGTCTCAAAAAACAAACAAGCAACAACAAAAACAGGTTCTGTTACAGACATGCACAGTGCCTGAAGTATATCTGTATCCACCACGGCAAGCAGATTAACTGGAACCTGTACGTGGTTATTTTTTTTCCTCCAAGTTTGGAGATCACAGACGAGTCTTCAGGAGTGACCAAGAACCAAACCCAGAGTCAATAAAACACTATGATTGGTCAGTTAGGAAGTTTGGATAGTTCTATGGAGAGATCTACATAGCGTTCTCTCTAAATTTGGTAGGTAGAAAATACTTAAACTCTTCAAACCAGAGACTTGCCATTGTGAGACAAACAAAGTAAGATGGAGGGCAGCTATAGGAAGAGGAAGAAGGAGGACAACACCACAGGAGTCCCACACTGTCAAGGAGTGGTTCCCAAATCTCACCCAAAGATGGGCAGCACCCGGCCTCTTGCAGCTTGACTGAATCCAGTGGGCAGTGTGCTCAGGGATCTGGGGATTCTGGTGTGAGGCCAGGGTGGGGACTCCATATTTAGAGGATCCACCAGAAAGAAACTGGCATGATTCTGTGTCAATCTAGGAAAGGATCCTCGCCTTAGATACAATTATCATCCCCATTTTACAGACAAGAATGCTGAACCACAGAGAAGCCAGTAGACGATAGAGGCTGGATTTGAACCCATATAAGCTGGCTTCAAAGTCCACAGTAATATCTTATCAGAGCTATTAAAAGGAAGTAAAGCAAGCAAACAAAACCTCAAGGTACATGGAAGGAATAGATCAGGAGGAAAGGCAAATGAGAAAGATCACTATAGGAATCAGTAAATTATAGTGATGAACAGATGTAACTCCCAACACAGAGGTAGGAACGGATGCTGTGACTTCCTATTCTTGGGAGCTGTGCAGTAACAAGTGAGACCTTCATGACAAGCTAAAGACAAAGAAAAAAGAATAAATTGTGTCCAAGAGTCTATACATGAAAAATACATCAACATATTTAACAAACGTGCTTAACACAGGATGTCTGTTTCTACACAGCAATGCAGAAAGTCCCAAAAAGAAAATATTCTGGGTCTCTGAGCAACTGAGTTTTTACTTCACTGTACTTTATTTTCCTAACTCTAAAAGGCCTGCTTTTTGTTTAACCTAAATGACAACCATATTATCATACTTATTTGCCCATAGGCCGGGCGTGGTGGCGCACGCCTGTAATCCCAGCACTCCGGAGGCTGAGGCAGGAGGATCGCTGTGAGTTTGAGGCCAGCCTGGGCTACATAGTGAATTCCAGGTCAGTCTCAACTATGTATGCAGTGAGACCCTGTCTCAAACAAACAAACAAACAAACAAACATACTTATTTGCCCTTTCCTGATCAAAACCATAATGAAATTGAGATCCTCAAAAAAAAAAAAAAAATCCACCTATTCAGAGCCAGGATACTAAAAACTCCTTCAGATAGAAGACATTTGTGCTGATGATATCTGGTCTAGACAGATTCATGAGAGAAGTACAATTACAATCCTTTAGTCTGAATCTGGTGGCTTGAAGTAAATTCTCTGAAAGATCCATTTTTAGTAGGTGTTATTTTTGGAGAGGAGAGAGCAGACCTCTTTCCTGGGCTTCCATGAGACCATTTCACTGCGTTTCTTCTTTCTGCATCTTCGGCAGCTGTCCAGCAAAGAGCAGGTTAAGTGCAACTGCCAAGGCTTCAGAGCTGCTGGAGACCTGTTCCTAAAGCTGCAGCAGGTGGTTTGAGTTGAAAGTCAGCTGTGACTGTTCCCGAATAACTGAGCCTGTGAATGACAGGCGGGATTTCCCTCTCAGCAGCGCAGGGCTCTGAGCTGAGGCATCAGGGAGAGTGGCTTTTCCTAGGCCCCTTCAGAGTTGTTCAGGGGCCAGAGATATTTAACAAGATGGTTGCTTAGCTCCTGCTGCCAAAGGGATGGCCCTGTGTGTGACCCTTTTTCACAGAGTACAGTCATTTGCCAGAATTAAAGAAAAAAAAAAAAGATTTTCTTTCCCTCTGGAGATTGATGCTGGGAATCTGGTTGGCCTGCAGGCAGCAGCCGGAGATGAGGTAGAGAAGGACCCACTGGTGTTATTATAAAGCAGAAGAGACCAACAACCCAATTAAAGTAATAATGAGCTTCACTGTTCCAGGTACTTTTAATCAATGCATTCCTTGCCCGAAGTCACAGGGAAGGTCTTCAGGGGCAAGGGAGGGAAAAGATGGTGCTTCTGTATTCATGCAAATGAATACTTGCTGAATGGTTAGAACAGAGGCCTGATCATCTACCTTTGGGAGTAAGCCTGACCTATTCTTTCTTGTTCTTCTAGTTGCCTCCCCCAGACAGCCCAGACCACGCGGTACTATGAAAACATTCAAATACTTGGAGCTTGTCCTTGTGCTCTTGTCTTCACCCCGCTTCCTTCACTGTCTACCCGTGTGCAAACCTATTCAACCCTCTGACTAAAATCTCTTACAGTCCTCATTTCCTTGAGCTGTCCGAAGTGTCATGACCATCACTTCCCAGCCAACCCTGCCCTACTTCTTCAGCCCATGGTTCCCGCCCACCGATACACTCCAATCTTTTGCCAAATCTTTTGTGGGTCACAAAACAAGCTGTACTCTGTACCACCCCAGCCTCCAAACCTCCAGTTACCCCAGCCCACTCAGCCCTTCTTGTCTTCATCCTCAGCCACTGCTGCCATCTTTCTTACATAGACTGGTAACCTAGGCAGTCAGTTGGTCTCTTCTCTGTGTGTCCTCTTCCCTCTGCACCTCCCCCTCCCACATCGTTTACATGGCTGTCCCAGCTACCCAAACAGTGTGAAGATGCTCAAGCCACTGAAGTAAATAAACACATGGGCTAATTTTATCTTACAAATGGCTGCCACCGACTGTGTTTCCCATCAGCTCTCCTTTCCTTCTGAGCACTAGTGTCCTGTAACAATATTTCATTCTGTTATAACTCTTCAGCCACTTGTGTTTGGTTAAAAAAAAAAGAAAGAAAGAAAGAAAAATCCTGGTCCTGTAAACCACAATGTATTTGACTCAAACCTCTTTCCCTCACTCTAAGACAGGCTAGTTGAGGTAGGAGCAGATTGGCTCACTCTTTAACAATGTCCCCTTCTTACTTATGGTTTCCTAGTAAGACAGGACAACCCAGGGTGATGAATACTCCTATTAGAGGGATGCCGTCAGCCCTCTCCACAGAATCAATTAGAAAAATGGTGTTTTGGACCAATCAGAAACTTACTATTTTTCTACCATTCATTTGAATCGGGTGCTGTTCACGCGACCAATCAGAAGATGCTTTTTTCAATCCTTCATCTGCACGTGGGCACAACCAATCAAAAGACACTATTCCCCGTCCTTCATTTATTTGTAACAGGAAGCCTAACACGTTTTCTTGATAGGACAGCTTATGCATGACGTGATGTCAAGTGGGTGTTTGACAGAAGGACCTTCCCAGTGCCTTGTTTGCATGAAGGAGAGAGATACCCAGGGAATTTGGGGTACAAAAGATCCCTTTCCCCTTTCCTAGGAGCTGCTGTGAGTCTTTTCAGTACCTGCTCTCTGTACAGTGCACTTCTTTTCTGCCTTTTTTGTGTGTCTTGGCTAAACCTGAAAAGAAGCCTCGTGGAACTCTTCATCTTATAATAACAGTGTGAAGAAGAAGGTTACCTCTGTCACTTTTCTCTATAGGCTTCAGTGGTGGTTGAATTTCAGCTGAGGTCGCTGCATTCTCCTGTTTTCCACAGCTGGGTGGGGAAGGTCATCCTGTAAGGAGGCAGCAGAAATCTCCACTGAAAAGAACTGTCCTGAGATTAGAAGGCCTCTAATCCCTGCTGTTCCCTCTGAAGAGAACCCACTGCATCTTCCAGCTGACTCCCAACTGGAAGGAGGCATAAATTCAAGTTCTGTTCTACCCACTCCTCTTTGCCCCCTGCCACAAGCTTTGGTGAAATAAATTGGATCTCTTATACATACTATTGTTAGAGAATGTTACCCACTAGACCTATAGAAGGTCTTTAAATTATAATTTAGATTTTAGAGATGATTTGGCCTAACATTTTTCAAAGTATGCTCTGAAGAGTTAAGGGAAGTTCTGTAAAGACCCTGCTCAGGGACAATTAAATTGGGGAAACACCATATTTTCTAGAAAATCCTCTTAGAGTTGCCCCAGATATCAGAATATCAACAACCCTGGCCAGTTCTGTACAAATTGAACCTGGCTGACATTCTTGAACCTAAGATTTTTACAAAATTATTTGAGTTCTGAATTCTCCATCCTGACTCTACCGTGTATGGCACCTACTGATCCTGTTGGGGACATGTTGGCTTTAGGATGGGGAAGGGGTGAGTGCTGGAAAGCATAGTGAAAAATGCCAGTCACAGGGCCTGGATTGGACCTCTTTGTTCTCCATAGTCCCTTGAGTTGAGCTTTATCTCTAGGTATCAGGGCTCCAGCACTTACAAAACATGAGAGGCTTGAGTTCATGGCTACTGGCACCTTTGACAATACATATGTTTAAGCATGACCTGCCAACATTAATATAAAGCACTCTGTGAATCTCAGCAAACCTACAGAAATTCTGTCCAACTGGATGAAATGTTTGAAGTATTTGTCAATCCTCAAGACATTTTTTGGAAAAGGAAAAACATTCAAATTAAATCATTTGTCTCTGAGATATAATGATGAAAAATCAAAGAGTTGAGTTATCAACAACTTTAGTTTTATGTATTCAGAGTAATACAAATATGTTTTACAACATATGCACTTCATGGATATTATGAAGCACAGATCTATGTTCTGGCATGTTCCAGGCTATGAACTGGCATGCAGTTTTGTCAGTATATTACCAGTTAATAAAAAAAAAACAACTGAAAAATAGCTGCATTTTGTTGTTAGCCCTCCAGAGTTATTGGATAGAAACAAAAATTCAACAGCAGCCAAATGTTGGAATCAATACTAAAATTTTGAAATTATACAAATGAAATAATTCTGAAAAATGTTCAGGCAATCTACTTTCTTGCTTTGTTTTGAATCTAACTTAATTCTTCCACTCCAGTTAAATATTTCACATTTCCTCTCAGTGGGAACTCTGGCTGATTGCTGAAGGCTTTCAGCTACCTGAGAATGGCATCTGTCTTGCTGTCACCATGCCAACTCCTTGGGAATTCCCCCTCTCCCCCCAGTCTTCCCTTCAACGTGGGAGACAGCTTCCGCCCACCTCAGGAAGAGCACTATTTCTATTTACAATTGGTTCCTTTCTTCCTCTCTGGTGTGAGAAAAGAAAGTTGGTGACAAAATTGTCTTTTCAAATATGATTTTTGGCGTGTGTGCGTGTGTGCGTGTGTGTGTGTGTGTGTGTGTGTGTGTGTGCGTTTGTGTGTGTGTTGTGTTTTGTTTTCTCACTGTTCTTACTGACGTCTTTGTGTGGTGCAGTGGCTGGGATCCCACTGCATTGACATGGCAACCCGGAAATCAGTCATCCTGGGTTGCCATGGCAACGGGAGGGGGATGGGAGGCGTCATTTAATCACTGTAGGCTGTGTCCCTTTCAGGAAACCTACAGAATTTTTAGACAGAGGTCACTAGGAAAACAACAACAACAACAACAACAACAACAACAACATTCCTGTTGGCCTCAAAACGGGTCTGTGCCTTGGCATCCCAGGGCCCGCTGTAGACCCTAAGGGCAAGTGAGTGGTGTGAAGACCTGGGAGGGAGGCAGGTTCTCCCTCAGCTCAGGCCTTTGGGCACAGGAGGGAGGGACATCATCTGTACGCCTGCGCACTGAGGTCCGCAGAGGAGGACAGCAGGGCGGCGTTGGGGAAGGAGAACAAGTCTGAGTTGGGAGGGGTGCAGCTGTCTCAGGCTAAGAGAGGAGCCAGGGCTGCGGACGTGGGGCACAGGCTGCTCTCCCAAGAAAAGCGGAAGCCTAGTTTCCTGTGGCATCTGCTGTGGGGCTGAAGGTAGTTGGATTTCAAATTGCAGAGAAGGAAGTCAAGTGAGGTTAACCAGCGAGATTACCTTTCACAGCGACGATAATCAGAGTCCTCTGTGGGGCAGAAGCTCCCACCCGTTATGTTTTGTAAAAGACAAGATCCCCCTCTCCCCTGCCCCAAGCAGATCTGGCTCTTGGATTTATATAGTCTCCCCTTCACAGAGTCCAATTCCCAGGAATTGATCACATTTCCAACTAAAATTGAGAAAGCCCTTCTGGACTTTTAAAAGGCTTCTAACAGCCATACCTTCTAGACCAGGAGATCTGAATGTTACTCGTTGAATGTTAATCTTTATTTCCTTGTAAAATACCCGCCCCCCAGTTTGAAAAATACACCCCGAATCTATCTCTTCTCCTTGACTTCATTACCTGGCATCCTAACCCTAGCAACATCTTTCTGAATTCCCCAAAAGCCTCCCGATTGTTCTCCCAGTTTCCATTTGGTCTACGTATGCCCTGGTCTTCCCACACAACCTGACCAGGTCATGCTGTTGAGAGCATGCCCCACCCACCCCGCGGTTGGACATCATGTTCGAAATATAAGGAGTATAACCACGACTTACAAGATTCTACCCAGTTTGGTCCCTTACCACCTCCCCCTCCTCTTACCCATGTATTCTCCGATCTGTGCATTCTGTTCTACCCACATCGGCCCCCTGGCCCTTCCTTAACCCATCTGCCAATCTCAGGGACTTTGCCCTTGATGAACAGTTCTTCCCCAGATCTTAGGGAGGCATCTTTCACTTCCTCCGATCGTCCCGTCCAAATATCCTCTTCTACAGAAGGACTTCTGGGAACGCCTAGAAGGAGGCACAGAACTTGGGGGAGACTGGAGGGACTACTTGTGGAGCTGTGCATGGGGTCAGGAAAGCCAACTGCAATGTCTCCTCCCACACCCAAGGCTCCAAGGCACTCATGATGCAGGCGTGCAGAGAGCTGCAGGCCTGGAAACCCCGGGGGCTCTTGCGGGGAGTGGCGGTTTCCATGGAAGAAAAGCAGGACCAGAGGAGAATTCAAAGGGACACGCTGACCTCACTTTCCGCCCACTGGCCAGTCCCAGATGGAATCCAGAGGCTCTGGGGGTCAGGTTAATGTAGTATTGCTGCATAACCAATTACTGGCAAAACATAGCCACTTGAAACAATAAACATTAATTATCTCTTACAGTTTCTATGGGTCAGGAATTTGGGAGCAGGCCGTTTTGTATTTCTAGCTCTGATCTCACTTGAAATTGCACAAAATACCAGTTCTTAGCCTAAAATGGTGTTGAATGCCTCTAATATCAGCAGTGTGGGAGGCAGAGGCAGGAGAATTTCAAATTTGACCCCAATCTGGGCAACTTAGTGAGATGCTGTCTCAACAAACAAACAAACAAACAAACAAAAGGATGGGTATGTAGCTCAGTCTGAATATCCTGGGTTCAATCCCCAGCGCCACAGAAGAAAAAACAAAAAGTCAATCTGGCTGGGCCTGTGATGCACAGCCATAATTCTAGCTACTTGGGAGGCTGAGGGAGGAAGATGGCAAGATAGGGACCAGAATGGGCAACTCTATCTCAAGATTTAAAAAACAACAGATATCGGAGGTGAAGTTCAGCAGTAGAATACTTGCCTGCTCACGTTTCTAAGGTCCTGAGTTCATTCCTTGGTACAAAAATGTCAGCTGGTGAAGGCTTGCCTGGGTCAGAGGGTTTGTTTCCACTTACATGGTTATCCAGTTGGCACTGGCTTGTGGCAGGAGACCTGTGGCTCTGTCCATGTGGCCTCTGCATGGGGCTGCTTTAGTGTCCTTAACATATGACACCTGGATTCCCTCTCAGCAAGCAAGATGGAACTGATGGTGCCATTTGTGACATCACCCTGAAAACCCCACTGCCACCTTGGCCACCTTGATTTGTGAGTCACAGACCCATCTGAGTCAGGGTGGGAAGAGACCATACAGCGGCAGGGATAGCAGAAGGCAGAGCTTAGGTGTGGTCTGTGTAAAATTGGAGATTTTGAAATGGAGGGGAATCAAAGCCAGTAATCAGTCTTGAGAACCTAGGTCACTCTTTCCATTTAAAAACAAAATCATCAATGGAAATGTATAACTAACAATTTGCTACCAGTAACAAAATACAATAGGCCTTTATTTGTGCTTGTAAACTGACAAACACATCTGCAGATACTTGGCTTGTAGTCTTCCTCCTATCATGAACCTCTGTACCTTGCTGGCCACGCTTTTGTCTTAGTCATAGGTGTGGCAGTATTTATGGTACACCTGTTAGGTCCTAGCACTGTACACAGTACGGGAAGTCTAGCTCAGGATGAGGCCTTACCTGTGCATTCTGGGCCTCCACGTATGGTGGAGGAGACAGGTAAGCATGCAGTGATAGCGCCATGGGAGGAGAGCTAGAAACAAGGTAAGCAAGAGTGATTTGTGGAGGAAGGGTTTCCTCACATAGCCATTTTCATTTAGAAAACTGGACAAGTGCAAATAGTAACTGGCTAAGGAATCTTTTAGATCATTTTTGCCAAGTCAATAGTTTAAGACTTTCAAATATTATATTGTATACGACACAGTTCTCTGCTGAAATTCCCCTGCGGAATCATAAAAATAAAACTTAAAGGATGTTGAGTATTTTCTTACCAAAGTAACTGAAGTCATTTTGGCCAGACTTCATGGAAAAGTTCATCAAATGTTTTTCTTCTGTACCTTCCAAGTTTACAGATTCGCAAGAGCAATCAGATGACAACATATTATAAGAGCCTTCTGTGTAGAGTAGGACTCCATTCTTCTCCTGGAAAAACCAGAGTTCTCCTCCTAGTTTAATATTATCATTTAGTTGTCATCTTTAGGATCTTTCCTTTTTCAAAATCAATGTCACATTTTCCTCTTGGCCACATCCTCTTATTTTCTGACTCCTGAGGACAGTACTGTTACTATTTTAGGCAGTCCTGGTGGCTGTTGTTCATTCTCTTAGAATTCCACTGGATTTTTACCACAGGGATATATGCACACCCATGCTTATAGCAGCACCGTTTGTAATATAGCTAAATCTGGGAAACAGCCCAAATGCCCATCAACTGAAGAGTGGATTAAAGAGGTGTGTTTTTTTATATATATATGCAAAAGAGTATTATTCAGCCATAAAGACAGACAAACCTGAGGCATTTCTAGGTAAATGGATACACTTTGAGACCAGACTTTTAAGTGAAATAAATTGGACATGTGTAAATATTGTATTGTCTCTTTGGTGTGAGAAACTGAAGGTGTAAATAAGGACTAAAATGTACGAGATATTGTGAAATAGGAAGAAAATATTCAAATGAAAAGGGAAACTAGGAAGGGAGAAGAGGAAGGAAGGAAAGAAAAAAAGAAAAAAAAAGGATTCTACCTGATTTTATAAAATGTATGTCTGCATTTTTGAAACAGTAAATAGTACCTGACTTTCTCATGTAGAGCCTGAGTCTTTAGATTCAGCTAAAGTTAAACGACAAGGACTGAGCGCTACAGCCTGCCAAGTGTGGTGCTGGGCACCGTGCTAGGTGCCATGGGTACAGGCATAGGAGACCCTGCCTGGCCCTCTGGGGGTATTGAGTCCAGTTATTGAAGTCTAGTGGCCTTGGATCAGGAGACACATCCCCAGCCAACACTCCACAGCCAGTTCCCCCTCAACTCCTATGGTTCTGTGTATCACAGGAAATTTCAAAAAGAATTTTAAGCATGGATCAAAAAGCAAAATTTTTAAGCATAGATCAAAAGCAAGAATTTTAAGACATAGATCAAAAAATAGAGCAGGGGAAGGTTACAGACCAAGGTCATAAATAAATCTATGAAAACCTGTTTCTCTTGACAGTAGGGAAATCAGCAAAGACAAAAGGCCTTCAGACATTTCCTTTAATTCCACATCCTCTCTTGCCATCCGATTTACTGTCAAAACTGATCACGCTGTCTGGTCTCCAAAGTTGGCTAGAAAACCCCAGTCTTGTCTATCTGCCCTGCCTGATAATTACTGAAGTTATTATTGCATAGCTTTTCTTTCAAAACACTTAAAATGACTTACTTGTGTGATATGCACTGATTTTTATCCCTTCACTCTGACATTCTTCTTAAAGGACTGTTTCTCCAGGGCCTTGCAAGTGCACAGTGTTCTGTATCCTCTGTTACCCCTGCTGGCTGACGCCCAGTTCTTGATCTTTTTGCTCCTTTTCTGTTGTTCCTGAATTTCTATATTGATCTTTTGAGACTCTCTTAAGAGCAAACAAGTTTTATTTTGCAGAATCGGTACTTCTGTTTTTTATGGCAATGATACATTTGCTTTAAATGTCTTCACCTGACCCTGGTCAGTAGCCTCATTCTTAATTCCGCTCGTGGAGGGAGGGTTGGGAACATTTCCTGCTTAGGAGAAGAGCAGAGCTTCAGACACAGGCAGCCAGTCCGCCTGGGAAGCGCCTAGCCTTTGCCCCTATTTGTGTCTTGGCGCAACTGCTCAGAACGTCATTCAGGCTGCCAGGGCTCCTCCTTACCTGTTCCCAGCCCACCTCCTGCTGTCTTCCTTCCTGAGTCCCTCCAGGTCTAATGTTTCGAGTGAGGGAGGGCCTCATGTTGCATGGGCAACTTTCTTCCGGCCAGCTTCCATCTACCCTGAGTCTCCTCACTCTACCCTTTTCCTTCTTCAAAACCAAGTATTCATTTTCCCGTAAGCTCACAGGAAGGCACGTTTCTTGAATTCATTCATCACCGACAACCTCCCCCGGATTGTCTGTACGCATGCAACACAGTCATAGTGTCAGCGTAATAAAAAATACAGTGTGTTCAAAGAAAAACTTATTACGGTAAAAGACATATGGCCACGAACCCCCCTTCAAAGTGTTCCTCTTCCCTTTGAATGCACATTTCCCTTTCATGGTCATTTTGAGTTTGAGGAGGAGCCGGAAGTTGTACAGTGCCAGGTCTGGTGAACAAAGAGGAGGAGGATGCACTGTAACGTTTTTGTGAACCTGCCTTTCTGTGAGACGGCACTTGGCTGCCACCCTCGCCACATTTTTGCCTACACCTTGGGAAGACACTCACAAAAGAGTACCTCAGAGCAGCTGCAGAAAGTAGCAAGAAGGGTGGGATAAGTGTGATTTGAGAGAGGGGCAATATTTTGAGGGAGATTCGTAGCAATGTGTCTTTTACTCTTAGATTTTTTCTCATTTAGACATACACTACACTTTTTGATCACCCTTTTGTTTACATGTGTGCCATTCACATCAGAGACGAGTCTGAGAGGCTTCCCACTGTCCCATGTGGTCCCTTAGTGAGCCTCAAGGGACCAGAGGACTGGTTCTGACACTGTCCTGAAGGAGAGCTGCCCTCACTCCTCACAAGCCGCATCCCTCTCGACTGACATTTGTCGTTAGTGAAGGCCAGCTGCTCTCTCCAGAAAGATCAGTTCTGTCCCCCACACTTCGCTCTTAGACCAGCTACGATTCGATCTCCTCAGAGCCTAACAGCTGGGGCTGAGCTCACACATCTGGGGGAGGGAATGATCCTGCAAAATGCAGATCAGAGCGTGATGGTGATTTACCAAAGGGCTTTTTAGAGGGGCTTTGGATTCCTGGGAGCTGATCCAAGGATGCCCAGAAGTGTGGCTTTTCTACGACAAAGCACCAGCTCATTAGGCACTTACTTATCCTTCACTACGATGCACAACGACCAGGTGAGTCCCGAGCGGCAGCACCAGGGTATATGAGCGGATGAGGTGCATTATGTTATGTTACACTTGCTTTTCTTATTGCACTCTCGCTCTTCCTTCCTGCCTCCCCAGCGTGCATGCGGGAGTGGGTTGTGACAACAGAATGAGAACAGAGAGAGAAAGAAAGAGATCAGGACTGAGAGAAGCAGAGGTGGCCTAGCCAGGGAAGGCAATCAAAGCAGTAAAGAACGACCAACTGGCTGAAGGGAGCGGAGAGAACGTTCGGGAGTCTGGTCTCTGGGACAGCAAGTACAGATTCCCACGGAACATTCGGCTTTTTTAAAGCCTCTCCAGATGTAAGCAAAGACTAGCTTTCTTTCCTATTTTCCATGCCTTTTAGAGTTTTTTTAAATTGCTTTTTTGTTGCTAGACTGTGCTTCTTTATAAGCAATTTAAGGCAGATATGGGACCAGAAATTGCCCCAGATTTCTATAGGTTTGCCTATGTAACAGATATGCAGAATTTTGTGTGCATGTGGTATGGTTTTCTGCAGTTTGCAAAAAGAAATATAGGATTTTATCACAAAGCTGCTGTGATAAAAACAGTATGGTACTGGAAAAGAAACAGACCTGAGGATCAGTGGAACAGATTAGAAGATGAAGAAACAACTCCAGACATAATCAGCCACCTCATCTTCGACAAAGGAGCCAAATACCTTCACCGGGGGAAAGAGCCTTCTTCATAAATGGTGCTGGAAAAATTGGGTTTCAACTTGCCAAAGATTACAACTAGACCTACATCTCTCACTGTGCACTAAACTAAAATTGAAATGGATCAAAAATCTAAATATTAAAGTAAAACACTAAACCAACTGGAAGAGTGATTAAGTAGAACTCTTGAAGACATTGGCATAGGAAAAGATTTCATGAACTAAACCTCAGTAGTGCAAAGAATCAACAACTGAGATCTCATCTTCCTAAAAAAACAAAAACAAAAACAAAACAAAAACTTCTGTACAGCAAGAGAAACCACCAACAGAGTGAAGAGACATGGGGAAAATATTTACCAGCTGTTCCTCAAAGGTCTACTATCCAGAATATATATTTTTAATTTTTTTTTAATTGAGTTTATTGGTACATTTAGGGATACAGTACAGTTACATTCATTGTT